GGGGGGGGGGGGGGGGGGGAACTTCAGGTTTTCGGGGGGGGGGGACACTTCAGATTTTTTTTTGGGGGGAGTGCCAGCAGTTCCAGTTGATTTATTGTTGGACATATTTTTGCTCGGGGGGGGGACTTGGCTTTCCCCGGAGGGGGGCACTGCCCACCCCTCCGGGGATATAGCTGAAAGAAACCCTGAGTGTAGTTATAAGAGTGTCAGTTTATTATACGTTCTACTTTAATAATCACCACACCGAAAACAAATGTAATGAAGGCATTAGCGGAGACGTTTAAATTTGTCATTGGCATTTTCGGCCAAATGCCGAATTTGTTTTGTGGAAATGGGGCGTTAAAATGTTCGGACCATCCCATGTGGCACTAAACCTAGCTGCGCAACATGGAAAAACTGCAAATTTTATGGTGCCCGTGCGTATCGGTTTTATTGCAGTGCAGGATGCCACCTGTCATCTAGTTCCAACCGGGAAGGTCAATATGCCACTAGATTAGGGTGACCAAACGTCCCGTAAAAACGGGATTGTCCCGTTTTTTCACGATCGTACCCGTTGTCCCGAAAAAGTCTCTCTGGACGCCTAAATGTCCCGTTTTTTAAACCAAACACATTTTCAAATCACTAAAACCTCCTAATTTATTATATAACTTCAAGTAATATTTTGGCTAGCTGTGTAGGGAGTGATGATGTGGGCTCGCGTGATGGCTGCACTGTGCCCCCTCCACCAGTGTCGCTGCCATAGATCTTATATGTAAATGTATAGCGAAAGACATGAGACTTGAAGCTGCGGGGGGGGGGGGGGGGGGTGGGGGGGGGGGGGGGGGGGGGGGGGGAGGGGGGGGGGTTAGGATGTAACTGCGCGCAGAAAACAATTTTGATTCCGCCACGTGTAATGTGTTAGCCTGATCCCTGCCGGCCTGTTCCTGTCAAAATGACAGGTGTTTGTTTTGGGTGTTGAACGTAATTCTTTAATTTTATATTATCTTCTCATGTAAACAATAATTATGCCCAAGTGTCAATGTAAGTTTATGGATGAGTATTCCAAAGAGTGGAAATATATTAAAAAGGGACGTTATGAAAGTGAAGCCGAGTGCACAGTTTGCAATAATTTTTTAGTATTGGTTTCCACCCGAACCCCCCCCCCCCCAGTTGTCCTTGAAAATGTCCCGTTTTTTCAAGTTCATGCTTTGGTCACCCTGCACTAGATAATGTCGGGGGTTATCATTTAGCAGATTGTCATTAGGGTTTCTCTCCCGAGCTACCGCACGATTTTTAGCAAACAAAAGACTTCCCGATTGTCATAAAATGTATCAATAAGCCAAGACCTGTAAAATCTAGTTTAGCCTACTGTGATAAATTAACTCAACCCAGTAGCTCTTGTGCACATGTTCTCAGGCGTTTTCAGGTCACGACCTCGTTCATATAGAGACAAAGTGACCTATATTGTGCGTGTGTGGGTGGTTTTAAAATAGGGTAAATTCTTGAAAAGGAATACATTTTATAACGTAATTTTCCAGTATACTATGATTGGCGATTTATTTACTGTCATCATTGAAATTGTAAGTCAAACTTTAAGACGCCAATTAAGAGAAGAAAACTATTTAAAAATCACTTTTTCTCTTCAGTGGCGTAGCTAGGGATTTGGGGGTCCTGGTGGCTTGGCCTCTTTAGGGGCCCCTGCATTTTGACATTCGACATTATTTAATGTAAAAAAAATTCTGACACTCCTTTGGGGGCCCCCCTCAAGTAGGGGCCCGGAGGACTTTCGAATTTGGACCCCCTCCCCTAGCTACGCCACTGCTTCCTCTTAATCTACTGTTTCAGCCGGCGACCCCAAATTTTCTGAATCCCACTTGAAGTCACCAGATTATCTCAAACTAATATATATTATTAGAATAAATGACCTGATGTTATTCGTGTTAATAATGATAGATCCTATGCAATAATTTCTAACTGCTATTGCAAAAACTCATCACAATTCATAACTTTAAAAATGTAATAATATTTACGTTTCTAACATTACGTTTTGAGAGGAATTTATCTGCTATATATTCTATGCCTACCCTACTCCTTTCACGCTCCTAAACTAGTTTTCCCCCCTCTAAACATGACATTAAATTACACAGTCTAAATTATTACTAATTATATCAATTTTGTCACTAAAGAAGTTAATTGAGGGACAATTACTACGTTAGAGAAATACTTTAGATTTACCCCTTTTCGTGCCCTTGAATTACAACTTTTTTTTCTCCAAAAATTGTTTTAAAAAACTATGCCGAATGTTTAATCTCATAAAATACAAATCTCTTTATTTTTTGCAAAGTAAAAAAAAAATGTATTTTAACTTTTTGAAAGTAAATATTAACCCAACCCTATTTTCTAAAATTAATTTTTCAAAAATGTAAAATGATTGGATTTTGATATTCATGGTTATCCTTATATAAACGTACTAGAGACCGACCGAAAGTGATTTTTCTGATTTGGGCCGAAGCCGAAAATAGGCCGAAATTTTAAAATGACTTTCAGCCGAAACCGAAAAAATGCCGAAAGTTAAAAATGAATTTTGGCCGAAACCGAAGCCGAAACCGAAGCCGAAACCGAAGCCGAAAATGAAATATTAAGATATTTTGAAATTCGTTCCCGCATACATTCTGCATAAATCGAAAATGATTGGGGAAAGTATAAATATTTACATTATTTTTTTTATAAAAAAATGAGATAATCGTGAATATTAATAAATAAACATCTAATATAGGGGTCTCAAACTCGCAGACCGCAAGCCATTTGTGACCCGCAAGACGATATTTTGCGACCCGATAGGCCTACATGACAGAAAAGTTTAGTGTAAATGCGCCGGCCCGTGTCCCCCATTCTCATATCTATAACGTCACTCTCCGCGGCGGTTTCAGTCGAATCTCACCGACTAGTCTAATTCTGATTTTTTCTTTTTAATGTTTCTATATATTTTTGTATGCCAGGTTTCTGGCAACAGTGAGTAGTTCTTAAGAACCCTTAATGCTTTTATTGTTATTTATAAAGGTTGAGCATATTGTAACAGTTGTAATCGCTTTTTTGTGGATTACTTGATGCGACCCACTCTCATTCAGACACTACCTCCTGTCCCCCCCCCCCCCCCCTCCCCCCCATGATTTGAGTTTGAGACCCTTGAACTAAGAATACTTAGGATTTTACCATTTTAATATAAAAGTAATTTAAATTGCTTTACAATTTTTTTAAAAATTAGTATGGTAGGAGAAAATTGGGGGGGGGGGGGAATTAATGCAAAATATTTTTTTTCTCCTTCTTCTATATCTTAAGGGCCAACGATCAATTTATTGATCATTTTGGCTCCTAAACAGGGTCTCTAAAAATGTGGTTCAAAAAGATCGCTTAATTTGTTTTTAAAGATCTTTTAGTTGGTTGTTATTGATCGGTTAGTTTGTTCTTAAAGATGGGTGAGTTTTTTCATAAAGATCGCTTAGATTGTTCTAAAATATCGCTTAGTTTAATCT